AAGTAAATAATATATATATATATATATATATATATATATATATATATGTATATGTATATATATTTGTTTTGTTCTATAGTTGAAACTGAGTAATGAGTAATTTTAACATTAACGTTACGTCATTAATACACGTTGTACATGAAATTCGAATCTTCGAAAACCGTAGAATGTACATGTACACGTATACACGTACATGTATTTTTCTTTGGAACGTATGAGGATCGATTGTACAAAACGATCATAGTAACTTTGTTCTTTACCAACTTAACTGCGGGTATTCCCTCATGTCTGACGCATAGATGTAGTATATCCAAGTGAAGTTCCTATACCTCATCTTGGAGAAGGAATACCATTGATGTGGAGAACAATTTGTGAGGGGCACAACAATGTAAAAGTGCTATGATGGAAAGCGATGCGTAACATCTGGATTTGGGAATATATATATATATATATATATACATATATATATATATTAGAGAAACCCTTGTCACACCATCCTCAAAGGGTTTTAATCATTTTTAAATATGTACGATTCGTTTCGTATTTAATGAAGGGAATGTAATGAAAATCATCACCTTCGTTCAATTACATTCAATGCATTGGTTTCGATTCGACGAGCCGCTAGACGCTATAAAATAAAATAAAAAGAAAAAAAAGAAAAGCGTTACACACAATTTCACAATAGAACATTATTTGATCTCAAGTCAAACATCGGTAAAATATTTTGTAGTTCACGCGGCTCGTTTTATAATGTTGGAATAAACATCTCCAACGATCCGTGCAGAAATTATTTAAAAACAAGAAAGGATGAAAGACAAAAAAAGAAAAAAGAAAAAAAAAAAAGATAGTAAGAAAAATTCGCAAAAACACAAAAAAGTACCGTCGATATTCTATTTGTGACAATTATCGTAACTTATTTCCAAAATCTTGTTTTTACTTCTTCATAATAGTGTCTGAACGTTGAACTAATAATCGACGACGGTACGTAGAAATGCATATTTTTCAAAATTATACACTATTTTTTTCGTATTTGTGAACAATTCGAGAAAATCTTTTGTGACGCGTTTAAATTGGTTTATCCTTTGACAAAAAGAAAAAAAAAAAAAAAAGAAAAGAAAGAAAGAAAAAAAAAGAAAAAAAAAATGAAAAAGAAAAGAAAAAAAAAATTCGAAATAAGAA